GCAGCCACCTCTGCAGCACTTGTAACCACCTCTGCAGCCCCTGCAACCACCTCTGCAGTGCCCGCAGCCACCTCTGCAGCACCTGCAGCTGCCTCTGTAGCCCCTGCAGCCACCCTCTGCACCTGCAACCGCCTCTGCAGCCCCTGCAGCCGCCTCTGCAGCACCTGTAACCACCTCTGCAGCACCTGCAGCCACCTCCGCAGACCCTGCAGCCACCCTCTGCACCTGCAACCGCCTCTGCAGCACCTGCAGCCGCCTCTGCAGCACCTGCAACCGCCTCCACAGAACCTGAAGTCACCTCCACAGCCCCTGGAGCTGCCTCTGCAGCACCTGAACCACCTCTGCAGCCCCTGCAACCACCTCCACAGAACCTGCAGCCACCTCCGCAGCCCCTGCAGCCGCCTCCGCAGCATTGCAGCCGCCCGTCCTCCCCATGGCACAAACCCTGTGCGCTCGCTGCTCCTCTGATGCCCATCCCATCACTCTGTGCTCCTCCAGCTAGCCCCCATGGACAGGCAGGGCGCTCCGTGGAGCTCCCACACCCGCCGCGTGAAGCCCCCCAGCACAGGGAGGTCCGTGCAGGTCACTGCACACACGTGGGCCCCACGAGGAGGCTCCCGCGCCCACTCGGCCTCGCGCGGGGAGCAGGAACCGCGCGCCGGGCTCCGCTCTCGGCCGCCCTCGTTCCAGCAGCGCCGGGCGGCGGGCACGAAACAGGGCGCCCTGCTGCGCGGTGACACTGCTGCCACCCGGGGTGATGCGGCTCTGCGTCTGTCCCCAGGGTGACGTGGCTCTGCTGCCACCCGGGCAAAGCGTCTCCCCAGCCAGAGGCCTCCAAGGAAAAACGTTTCCTCCTCCTTCCCGTCGTGGCCCAGAGCCGCAGCCGGGACAGCGCAGGTGCCACACGCGTCTGTCCCCTCAGAGCGGCGGTCGGGGCCGTTACCTCCTGAACTCAGCACTGCTGCTGCTGGGAGCCCATCCTGCTCCGCGAGGGCTGCGCGCGCCGGGTGGCACGTGGGGTGGTTTGAGGAGCAGCGCATGGAGCGGCACGCAGAGTGGTGCATGGAGCAGCACTTGGAGCAGTGCATGGAGTGGTGCATGGAGCGGGCGCAGGGAGGTCTGCAGGGCCCTGTGCACTCGGGCCCTGCCGCCGGCAGCCCCGCTCCGTCCCCGCTCCGTTCCTCCTAAGGAGGCAGCAGCCAAGGGCGCTCCACGGGCCGCGGCGCTCGGCTCCCTGCGGCACGAGGCACCGGCCGCCCTCCCAGCTCAGGTCCTGCCCGGTGCTTCACGGCACCACGACCAGGCACCACGTCTGCACCTACCACCATAACACATACGTGTCCTTCACAAACACACACAGCAAAATTACTCATAAATTAACACCGCTCTGCTGAAAAGCAACTCCACCGTTTCCCATATCTAGGCATTAGTCTCATAGGAAGCAGAGGAGAAGGAAAAACAAGCCCCCCAATTTACGGACTCAACAGGAGGGTCACTTAACTGCCTTCTCCAGAGCCATTCCGAGATGCAGGCGCTCCTGCTCCCCAGGAGTTGTGATGCTGTCACCGCCTGGGACAGACTCAAATGCCAGGCCCCACTTCCCATTGCTCTCATAGAATCGCAGAATCACAGAATGCTTAAGGTTGGAAGGGACCTCAGAGGTCACCTAGTCCAACCCCCCCGCACACACAGGGTCACCCAGAGCACGTGGCACAGGCTGCGTCCAAGTGGGTTTTGAAGACCTCCAGAGAAGGAG